AGCCTTTGGGAAACTCTTCAGTTCCTGGCAACGAGCTCCTGGCATGGAAGACTAGACCTGGGCCAAGGGAAATGCCCGTCTGTGTGGGCAGAGAAAGACCACGATAGAAGATTCAGACAAGGCTGGAGGACACTGTGGGCCCCAAAGAGATTGATGATCTGCCCGCAGGGAGGCGCTCTCCCTCCCAGGCCATGGAAGGACCACACATGTGAAGATCCCCGTCTCGGCTGGGCGCGGCGGTAAAACCTGGCTGGGCACGGTGGCTCACGCCTGTAATCCCAGCACTTGGGAGGCCGAGGCGGGTGGCTCCCCTGAGTTTAGGAGTTTGAGACCAGCTGGGCCAACATGGTGAAAGCCGGCTGGGTGTGGCAGCTCAAGCCTGTAATCCCAGCACTATGGGAGGCCAAGGCAGGTGGATCATGAGGTCAAGAGATCGAGACCATCCTGGCCAACATGGTGAAACCCCGTCTCTACTGCACTCCAGCCTGGTGACAGAGTGAGACTCTGTCTCAAAGAACAACAACCCGTCTCTGCTAATAGAGAAATAAACAAAAATTAGCCAGGCATGGTGGTGTGTGCCTGTAATCCCAGCTACTCAGGAGGCTGAGGCAGGAGAATTGCTTGAATTCAGGAGGCAAAGGTTGCAGTGAGCAGAGATCGTGCCATTGCACACCAGCCTGTGTGACAAGAGCAAAACTGTCTCAAAAAATGTAAGAAATAAAAATAAAGATCCCCATCTCCCTTGCTGTTTCCTGGGCATGACCAGAGGCCTGGAGGCCCTGGACCCCTCCTGAGGCCTGTGCTGCTCTGACTGGTGTCTGTCCATCCGGCACCTTTTACACCTCCCTCCCCAGGCCTGAGAACTGGGGGGCGGATGTGGAAATGGCAGTCTGAGGGCAGGGGAAAATGAGAGGTCCAGCTCCAGTAGTGACGCAGGGAAGAGGGAAGTGAATTCTGCTTCCCCAGCCTTTGTTCCACTCAGGCCCTCACTGGATTGGGTGATGCCCGTCACACTGGGGAGGCTGTGTGCCCTGCCCACTGCCGTACATGCTAAATGCACCTGGAAATGCCCTCACGGACACATGTGGAACAGTGTGCAATCCGGGCATGCCGTGGCCCAGCCAGGACGGTCGACATAAAATCAGCTGCCACAGGACCACGGGGGTTGATGAGCAATTTCAGCTCGCTACAGAGAAACCTCGTGAACACAGAGGAGGCACCAATACTCCGATTCTGATTCACTTGCTCAAGTATTCTCCGCAGCTCACTCCTCACCCGGGGACCTTGCTCAGCGCATTGCGTAAGATCTTTTAAAAGGCAGCCACTGTTGCGGGGCCACTCAGTCGACAAGCCTAGAGACCATCCTGCAGGCCACACAGGCCAGGGCCTGCCGATGCACTGGCTCTGCACCACGCCTGGGGTGGGAGGGGGTTTCTCCCATCAGCCCTGCCAAGGAAAGGCTTTGTTATTGACTGTGGTCAGGACTGACAAATCACTCACAAGAGCCAGACTCAATTGTGATACTGTGTGACATGTGGCATCACAAATAGCCAAAACCAGGGACACAGACCACCTGAGACACATCATGCTGCTGCGTAACGTGCTATTGTGAAAGTAGATAAAACGTAAACGCCGTTGGGACCCCCACCAGATGCTTGAGCCTTGAGAGAGCTGTGACGGGTCTGAGCCGTACAGCAGAAGTTACAGCTTCAGCCTCCTAGATCATGAAGTCTCTCTTCCTCATTGTCCACGTTCTGTAAGTGGCCAGGAGAAAGCAGAGACCAGGCCTCCCCTTCTAGTTGCTGATTTGGGTCATGGATGAGCTGCGTCTTTTATTGTCCTGTACCTAACTCAGACGAGATGGTGTAAGAGATCCCACACCTCTTACATCTTCATTGTGGAAGGTTAAATATGCCTTTCTCAGAAAGAATACCGCGTTGACGAATGAGATTACTGCAACTATGCTAGCCTTGTGGGGAGTATGTTGAAACCCCATAAGCTTCCCAAACCTTATATATGTAAATGAGCTCCAAGAATTCCACTCTTTGGAATTTGTGTTCCTGATGGCTGTCGGCAAGGTTTGTGCTCAAATAAACTCCACATTTAACCATTTTTCCTGAAACTTGTTATTTAAAGTTGACAATATCATATGGCAGCCATGAGATGGCCTGCAGACGTGAGTCACACACCACTGGATGACACCCAACTGTATTAGAAAGCAACATTCTAAACGGTCACATGACCGCTTCGCTTCCCTCCACTTGACCAGCCCTGGGCGAGCAGCTAATGCCCTTGTCTGATAAGGGGCACCTGAGCTGGAGTGTCAGTGGCTTGATGAACTCAGTTTATAAAGCTTCCCGTCTGACTTACTATTGATCTGAGCCAGTGTCTGTGCAGCTGGACTAAGGCCTGGCTGAGGACGGGCAGTGGCTGCACCAGCACAGAGTGGACCTTTCTTCCTGTTCATTTCTTCCAAACCGAAGGTCAGCGTCTTCAGACTCCTATGGCATCCCGAGCCCTGCAGGGACAATGCACAGAGTCTCTTCTCCTCTTAGAAGGAACCCTCCACAGCTACAGCCTGGAGACCCCACCCCAGGACTGTCCCTGAGGACCACCCAGGTCCTCTTTCCAACCAAATGTCCATTCCTCTAACCTGAGGGTTCTGTCTCTTCTCACCACTCTCCCCAGCAGCACCCTAGATAGTAGGGATCCTGTCCTCATCCCACCACATTTACATCCATATCAAAACCCCAGTCTTTCCTTTACAAAACCAAAATGTGGCACACATACACCATGGAATACTGTGCGGCCATAAAAAAGAGTGAGCTCATGTCCTTTGCAGGGACATAGATAAAGCTGAAAGCCATCATCCTCAGCAAACTAACACAGGAACAGAAAACCAGACACCGCATGTTCTCACTCGTAAGTGGGACTTGAACAATAAGAACACATGGACACTGTAATCCCAGCACTTTGGGAGGCCGAGGCGGGTGGATCACGAGGTCAAGATATCGAGACCATCCTGGTCAACATGGTGAAACCCCGTCTCTACTAAAAATACAAAAAAATTAGCTGGGCATGGTGGCTTGTGCCTGTAATCCCAGCTACTCAGGAGGCTGAGGCAGGAGAATTGCCTGAACCCAGGAGGCGCAGGTTACGGTGAGCCGAGATTGTGCCATTGCACTCCAACCTGGGTAACAAGAGCAAAACTCCGTCTCAAAATAAATAAATAAATATTTTTTAAAAATAAATTTCCAGCCAGGCTGTGGAGCTTCAGAAGCTCTTACTCACACCTGGGATATTAACGAGGTCAGCGATCCGGCAGGACGTCCCTCAACACATAGTAACACTAAGTGTGCACCCGCCATGCAGCTAGTCCACTGTGGTTCCGAGACGGAGGGAAATGCGCAGGGGAAAGTCCTCACTGGTCACGTGGTGTCGGCAGCAACCTGGCCGCTCAGCACAGGGTTTAAACTAAAGTGTAGTTTACACAATGCTGATCCGCTGGAAGTAATGGAAGTGGTTCCTATGCACACGTGGATGAAATTAAATGTTTAAGTCTGAGTTTAAATCTTAGAAAAAATAAACCAGATGAGGCCTAAAGAGGAAAAATTATCTGCTTAAGAAATGGAAACACACTATGAATTCTCTAAGAATCTGTAGAGATGATTTGGAAGTCAGAGTGGAACCACATGATTTACAGTTGAGTTGGTGACTCAGAGATAGGAGAAAACATGATTTGAAATGGTGAAAAAGAAAAATATGAAAGAGAAGCCTTTAGGTGGCTGATGATGAGTGTTAATAGTGTGAGTAGACTCTGTGCTTCTGGGTCTCAGGAAACACTGACAGAAAGTGCCACACATGCTCTGCTGGCACAGCTGGCAGGAACAAGTGACCTCCCTTCAACCCATGCCCCCTTTATTTAGGATTCCCGGCTGCCCTGGCCCCTCTCTGACATCGTGAGCAGCTTCAGAAAGGAGGATCAGGACAGCCAAGGCTCCCTACCTGAGATGCCCCAGTGTGTCAGAGGCAGGAAGGCTTTGGGGTCTGAGGGCAGTGTGGAACAGTGAGGGACACTCTGAGATGGCCTCTCCCAGCTGGAAAATGACTCAAGAGCCTCCAGGGGAGTTTGGTCATCAGGGTGCCCACTGGGTAGGTTTGGGTGGCAACACTGACCTGCTAGGACACATCTTCACCCCACCGGGTCAGCTGTGAGAACTCAGGGCAGAGGGGCCCAGGAACAGGCGGGTCGCAGCTCTTATTTCAATGCAGTGGCTCTGCTCCCATGAAGGTTTTGGGAGATGTAAGGTGGCTTCGGAAAGCTCAGGCTCCACAGCAGAGTGTCAGGAAGCAGAGTCGCATCTGAACCATACCCGGGGCTCCTGTCTTTGCCCTCCTCACTCACTGTACAGAGGAGGAGGCACCTCACCTGGGGACAGGGGATCCACAGTCGGCTCTGCTCCATACACCTGCCCTCCTCACTATGCTGATTCTGACCCACAGTCCCTCCCCTCTGTCCAATTTAGGGTCTGTGGCCCAGGCAGGGCCGGCTCAGCCACCTTCAGCATCCGAAGGTTCTGAACAAATGCCACAGTTGTCTGCACTCAGGACAGCAGCAACACTGGCAATGCAGACAGCTGGGGCCAACATGACACATTCCTCACATTTACACGCCGTGAGCATTTTCTGTCACTGCGCTTTGTAAGACATTTCCTTAAAGGGGACTTTTGCTACGCCAGATAGTTTCAATACTTATGTAGACCAATGCTTTTTTCTCAAGATCAGTATTTTTGTGTCCTAAAACAACTATACATATATGTGTGTATATGTGTATACATAACTGTATACATATGTGTATGTGCATATATATACAACTAGGTGTATATACACACACATACGTATATAGTTGTATATATACACATACACACATGTATGTTCATATAAAAAACAGAATTGTATCTCAAAGTTCTGTTAAAAAAATGAGTGGCTTGATATTCTAGTGCTAAGGGATGGCTTTATTTAAAACATAGTTTCTAGTAGATTCCTTTAAAAATATTATAGCAGGGATTTCCAGATCCCCCCGACTCCCACCTTTTTATCATTTTTGACTATTTTCCAGAGTCTTGAATTCAATGAGGTGAAGGTGGAAGAAAGCGTTGAGAAAGCCAGTGGGTGCAGGAGAGCTGGTGTTGGGGGAGGCAGAGTGGGGAGGGATGCTCCTTTAAATGGAAGCTTCTGGAACCCGCAGAAAGCAAGGGTGAGGTGGGCAATCTTCCCGCAGAGCTATCAGAGAAAGGCTTTAGACCCAATACTCCTGTTCACAAACACAGACAGAGGCACATGTTTTCTTAAAACAATTATTTCTATATAGAAATAAAATAATAAAAAGGGGAAAATTCTGGTTTAGTTATTTCATTCAATTACTAACAAATAACTTATGAAACAAAAACTGTAAAAGTGGAACTCAAATTATTAATAATCAGGATATGTGGCTCAGATACAGATTGAGCAAAACAGCCACAGATGATGCCCCAGCTGAGGAAGATGCCCCCAGCCGTGGATGATGACCCTGATGCTCCAGCCGTGGATGATGACCCTGGTGCTCCAGCCATGGATGACTTGATACCCTACCCGTGGATGATGACCCTGATGCTCCACCCGTGGATGACCTTGATAACCAGCCGTGGATGATGACCCTGATGCCCCAGCTGGGGAAGATGCCCCTGATGCTCCAGCCATGGATGATGACCCTGGTGCTCCAGCCTTAGATGATGACCCTGGTGCTCCAGCCGTGGATGACCTTGATACCCTACCCGTGGATGATGACCCTGATGCTCCAGCCATGGATGATGACCTTGATACCCCAGCCGTGAATGATGACCCTGAAGCCACTGCCGTGGATGATGACCCTGATGCTCAAGCCATGGATGATGAGCCTGATGCCACAGCCGTGGATGATGACCCTGATGCTCCAGCCGTGGATGATGACCTTGATGCCACAGCTGTGGATGATGCAACAGCCGTGGATGATGACCCTGATGCCACAGCCGTGGATGATGACCCTGGTGCTCCAGCCGTGGATGACCCTGATGCCACAGCTGTGGATGATGACCTTGATGCCACAGCCGTGGATGATGACCCGGATGCCACAGCCGTGGATGATGACCCTGATGCCACAGCCGTGGATGATGACCCTGATGCCACAGCCGTGGGTGATGACCCTGATGCCACAGCCGTGGGTGATGACCCTGATGCCCCAGCCGTGGGTGATGACCCTGATGCCACAGCCGTGGGTGATGACGCTGGTGCCACAGCCGTGGGTGATGACCCTGGTGCCACAGCCGTGGGTGATGACCCTGGTGCCACAGCCGTGGATGATGACCCGGATGCCACAGCCGTGGGTGATGACCCTGATGCCACAGCCGTGGATGATGACCCTGATGCCACAGCCGTGGATGATGACCCTGATGCCACAGCCGTGGATGATGACTCTGATGCCACAGCCGTGGATGAATACCCTGATGCCACAGCCGTGGATGATGACTCTGATGCCACAGCCGTGGATGATGACTCTGATGCCACAGCCGTGGATGATGACCCGGATGCCACAGCCGTGAATGATGACCCGGATGCCACAGCCGTGGATGATGACCCTGATGCCACAGCCGTGGATGATGACCCTGATGCCACAGCCGTGGATGATGACCCTGATGCCACAGCCGTGGATGATGACCCGGATGCCACAGCCGTGGATGATGACCCTGATGCCACAGCCGTGGATGATGACCCTGATGCTCCAGCCGTGGATGATGACCCTGATGCTCAAGCCGTGGATGATGACCCTGATGCCACAGCCGTGGGTGATGACCCTGATGCTCCAGCCGTGGGTGATGACCCTGATGCCACAGCCGTGGGTGATGACCCTGATGCCCCAGCCGTGGGTGATGACCCTGATGCCACAGCCGTGGATGATGACCTCGATGCCACAGCCGTGGATGATGACCCTGATGCTCCCGCCGTGGATGATGACCCGGATGCCACAGCCGTGGATGATGACCCTGATGCTCCAGCCGTGGATGATGACCCTGATGCCATAGCCGTGGATGATGACCCTGATGCTCCAGCCGTGGATGATGACCTTGATGCCACAGCCGTGGATGATGACCCGGATGCCACAGCCGTGGATGATGACCCTGATGCTCCAGCCGTGGATGATGATCCTGATGCCATAGCCATGGATGATGACTCTGATGCTCCAGCCGTGGATGAATACCCTGATGCCACAGCGGTGGATGATGACCCTGATGCCACAGCCGTGGATGATGCCACAGCCAGGGATGATGACGCTGATGCCACAGCCACGGATGATGACTCTGATGCCACAGCCGCGGATGATGACCCTGATGCCACAGCCGTGGATGATGACCCTGATGCCACAGCCGTGGATGATGACCCTGATGCTCCAGTTGTGGATGATGACCCTCATGTGACAGCCGTGGATGATGACCCTGATGCTCCAGCCCTGGATGAATACCCTGATGCCACAGCCGTGGATGATGACCCTGATGCCACAGCTGTGGATGATGACCCTGATGCTCCAGCCATGGATGATGATCCTGATGCCACAGCTGTGGATGATGCCACAGCCGTGGATGATGACCCTGACGCTCCAGCCGTGGATGATGACCCTGACGCTCCAGCCGTGGATGATGACCCTGATGCTCCAGCCGTGGATGACCCTGATGCCACAGTGGTGGATGATGACCTGGATACCACAGCCATGGATGATGACCCGGATACCACAGCTGTTGATGATGACCCTAATGCCCCAGCCATTGATGACGACTCTGATGCCACAGCCGTGGATGATGATTCTGAAGCCCCAGGCATGGATGATGACTCAGCTGTGGATGAAAGCCAACAGTTGTTTTCAAGAAAAGTCTAGTACACAAGTCATTAGTGAGATTTATCAAGAAAAAAGGGAAATCACAAAATTAATATCAGAAATTAATAGGAAGACATAACCACAGAGAGAGCAGAGATGACAAAACAGTGAGTGGACAGTCTGAAGACATAACTTGTTTTAAAGCATCGTTTTGTTTCACTTGGGCTGGTGGCCATACGCTGCAGTAGCCGGCCAATAGTGAGAGTCTCCTCATGGAGGAGGCTTGGGTCGAGGCTGAGGGTCTTCAACCCGCATGCTCAAGCGAGTTCCCACAAGGGGATGGAAACCAGACTACCGTCCAAATGCTGCACAGAGTTCCTGCCTGTCCCTCTCCTCACCATTTTCAGCTGGCAGGGCTTGAGCATTTTAGGGCTTGGGAAGATACTACTACTAAATCCACTAAAAGACATCACCGATCCTTATGTGCTTTGGCCAGCTGCTGAGCAAATTAACTTCACAACTGAAGTGGGCCACACTGGCCCGTGTGGTCCCCCACTCCTCTTAGAATTTGTGAGCTTGGGGCCAACTGGACGGTGGATGGTGGGAGGAGGGGGAGGATCAGGAAAATAACTGATATTAGGCTTACTATGTGGATGATGAAGTAACCTGTGCCGCAAACCCTCATGACACACGTTTACGTATGTACCAAACCTGCTCATCCTGCACAGGAGGTTCCCCTGAACTTAAAAATTAAACAGAAAAGGATCCGTGAGCTGATCCAAACACCTGGGGATCTTTGTGCTTTTCACACTGATGACTATGCCGCTCTGTTGGGAGATGTGCCTGTAACTGCCCTGGGTTGTGTGACCACGCAGGCCACTTTATAACGATGGGCAGTGTCTGGGACCTCCTTAGGGCTTATACACGAATGCTGGACTCCCTGCGTGGTGGCGAACACCCCCTGACTAAGAGCATGCCAGCAGCTGCCAGTGTCAGCACAGGGCCACACTCCTGAGCAGTGAGGATAATCAATGGCTCTGGTGAGGGTGGAGGATTCACTGTACAGAGTAGAGTGGGGCTGGATTTTATTTTTTAGAAGTGGACACTGGCGAATGGGCTGTGTAAACGGGAAGTCTCTCCTGAGAACACACACTGCCTCGCCTGCACAGAAGCTCCACGTTCACATCACATGACGCAGCCTCACACGAGACACCGCCAATCCTCACGCACCCAACTCAGTGCCACCCAACAGGGAGCACAGCTGCGGCCTCAAAAATGTGGCCATGATTTTTCCCTGGGGAATTCAGGTTTTTACAAAACCCTTTCACTATGCTTACTCCTATCACAATCCCAGAATCAGGGTGGCACTTCACATTGAAACCAGCTTTTTTTTTTCTTGACAATGATTCCAGAATACTTACCAGAGTCGCACTTCAGAGGGAACACCGGCACTACCTGCAACGCAGAAACAGAGCTTTATGAGTGGCACGTCGTGCTGCGGATTGTTTGCACAACGTTCTGTTTCTCTCAATGAATACTGAAAACCTGATCAGAAACGTAGTCAATTGCTACAGTAATCAGAACAGCATGGTACTGGTACCGAATCAGAGACATAGACCAATGGAACAGAACAGAGCTTCATTGGACAGGACAGAACGGGCGGCCACAGAGCCCTGGGACAGATGTTTTGTCCCCGCAACACAGCAGGGAGCACACTTCATGGCGTGCTGATGCTTACTGAATGGTACAACTGAGGACTGGGTGATTCTGTTTGACACGGCAAGTCTACTTCGCCGCGACAGGCAGTGCAGCACGTTAGTTTACAGATTAGCCTTTGGTGTTAGAGAGATCCAGCTGTGGGTGTGTCTCGTGAATAATTTACTTACCTGAGACTCACATTCCTCATCTGTATAATGAATAGAACCAAACTAATAATGCCTCAAAGTGATTGTGATGCTTGAAGGAGGCAACATAGAGAAGTGACCACATAGTATCCAAGACTCCAATGTGCATCAGTCATCCTTTTCATTTTAGTAACTTAAGCAGCCGTTACTAAGGACAGTCATGCGGCACAGTGACATTTTGATCAATGATTACTTACATGGCTGGGGTCAGACGGGCGTACACGAACCTACTGGCCTGCATCATTAGATTAAAACAAAATTTTTGGTTAAACATTTTAAGTAAGATGCTATACAAATGAAAGACTAACCACAGTGATGGAATTTTTAGGAAGAGATGAAACTAAGTTCACAAGGATTTGGAGAAATGTCTCCTCACATATGCTGCTACAGGAGCATGAATTAGCATCACCATTTTGAAAAATATTTGGCACTATTCACGACAATAAAAGATATGTTCCCTTCTAACAATCTGCTTCAAAGAAATGAGTGCCAGTTTATTCCAAAACCATTGACCAAAATACTCAAAAGCAACAACTTCTCACAGCCATACTTATTTAAAAACAGAGAAAGAGGCCGGGCGCGGTGACTCAAGCCTGTAATCCCAGCACTTTGGGAGGCCGAGGCCGGTGGATCACGAGGTCAGGAGATCAAGACCATCCTGGTCAACATGATGAAACCCCGTCTCTACTAAAAATACAGAAAATTAGCTGGGCGTGGTGGCACGTGCCTGTAATCCCAGCTACTCAGGAGGCTGAGGCAGGAGAATTTCCTGAACCCAGGAGGCGGAGGTTGCGGTGAGCCGAGATCGCGCCATTGCACTCCAACCTGGGTAACAAGAGCAAAACTCCGTCTCAAAAAAAAAAAAAAAAAAAAAAACAGGGAAAGAAAATTCGATGTCGATCAACAGTAGAGTGGATAAACTGTACTACGTGACTACGGTGGAATGGTGTGCAACAAGGAAATGGAAGAACTACAGTTACACTTACGAACATGAATGAATTTCAAATCACAATGGGAGCCAAAAAGCCAGACACCGAGAAACACATACTGACTCATTCTATGTATAACGGTCCAGACCTGGAGAGGTCTGAACAAGGCATTAGCAGTCAGAGCAGGTCCCTTAAGGGAGAAGATTAAAGGAGGAGGGAGATTTCAGGGAGGGACAGGGATGTCTGCACTTGTGCCATCTCACCCTCTCAGACGTCAGGGTCCCAAAAGAGGGTGCTGGCAATATTTAGGTGGTTCAAAGGTGACATAAAGAAAAGCATATGACAGACAGCAGCAAACTCAGGTCTTTAATGAAGTGCCCCAGACTGGATAGAGGGTGCCCACTTGGTTTTGTATCTTATTATGTAAAATGAGGATCCTCCAAAGAGAAAAATGTCATCCATAGCATGGACAGAATTACGTGCTATCAGCACATTTTATCATAGGAGTTTCCTGCACAACTTTTAGCAATCTGTGAATAAAAGGTCCAGAACTTAACTTGTAAATATCAACTTAGAGAACAATGGAAGCCTGATTTTTGAAGACAGCAAACAGTGGAATGCCATCTTCTGTGGGAAGGAACTCTTGGTTTCCCCAAAAATGAGAGAACTGGAGAGAAAGAAGCCTCATCTCAGAATCCGTGGTAGGGGTGGGAAGTGGAGGCTACAAATGTCATCAAGGTCAGACTTCTCCCTGCCTTCCCAGGAGACTGGAGATGTGCCAGCGGGCCCAGAGTGAACATTCACTCTGCCACCCACCCCTGGGAGACCCCTTTAAACCCACAGAGAGGACAGAAACATAAATGTGCTGTAACAAGTCTTAAAAGTTTAGAGGGTGATTATCAATTTCCCCTTGGCACAGAGCAGAACTTTTCTCTTAAGTTCAAGTAAATGCCTGTGAGAGAGATGTTCCCACAGATTCCTTCCTTCCTTTACAGATGACACTCAATGCCCAGCCCTACATCCCTTGTGCATAATCCCAAGGAGTGCTGATTAATCCAAAGCAAAGGTTTTGATGTTTCCCTGGGCAGAAAAGAGCAGGTGTACTGCAAACATCATCTCTAATGAACACAGCACCCTCACAGCCCAGAGAACAGTTCCTACCTTTATGACAACAAACTTTGAAAAGAACAAACCCAACCTCACACACATTTTCATTTTCTTTCTGATTTCATACTCCCTTCTTCAGCCCCTCAAGCAGCGGGGATAACCTGAAGGCTCTTAGGAACCCTTTCCCATCAGGTCCTACCTGGAAAGTAGTTCCCTACCTTGGGGGTCGTCTTCAGTGAGCCTGAAGATGCTCCCCAGAATCCAGCCTTTAGAAACAAAAACATCAGGACAAGTCATTAGAAAGAGTGACTCACCCACGCCTCTTCCTCCAGCTGAAGCCACGCTGCCTCACACATCATTCCCTGGTCTTTGCTCTGGGTAGACAAACCTTCCTACAGCCTCTCTGGCTGGAGTTCTATACTGGCCAAATCACTTTCTCTCAGGAGACCACCAATCCTCCTTCCCAGTGGGATCCCAGAATCAGTTTTCTATACACTCAAGCAGCAAGTTGGTCCCTCATGAAGTGAGTTACTTCAAGGTACTTACTTCTCACTCTCTCCTGGGATAGTTTCTGCAATTAAACAAGAGGACACATTATGAGGACGAGATTCTGCAGGTGCCCTTCACATAGAGCTGTTATTCCCTTGGCAAGGGTAGAAAACCAGAAGCGGTACATTGGCTGAGTCATAGGTCAACAGCCCCAAAACCATGAGGATGCTTATGGAAAGATAAGATCTTTACTCACAGAACTCACCTTTAAAGTGGATTTAATGGGCAAACACACAATGTTTAATCCAAGGAGGAAAACATGTTGATGACAGTGCCTCTGCATTACAGCCCATAATGGATGCTGCCATTTGAAAACCTCCCAGTGTATTGCATGTTAGTTGCGAAGACACTCCCACTGAACTTCACCCTACAAAGAGAATTGCATACGCTGTACATAATGTACAATTTCAGATTTTCATATCAAAATTAATTGAGAATAAATCACAAAAGCAAATGTCTTTAGAAGACAAAGAAAAGGAGTCTTACGTAGAGGCTTTGCTCCTCCAGGTCTTCTTCCTCTTCCCAGGATCTGAGTCCGACCGTGCTCGCCTGGTCATCTGAAGACACTGGAAGGACACAGAGGAAAGCTCAGCATCCCGGTGGTTGGTGGCTGTGAGCTACTCAGGGAGCTTTGCTGGATGTGGGGTATGGAGCTGGGTGATGATCAAGCACGGACTGAGTTGCTGCTGGGCCGTCCCCCTGGGTGGAAGAGGGCTGGCCAGGGAGGGCAGCAGGAAGGAGATGAGACATGGAGGTCTCCGCCTCGTACTGGAGGCATCATGCAGCAACACAAGAGTCAACCGAAAATGAAACTCAAAGGCACACTAAGGTTCAATGGAAGAGTGCCCTTCTGCCTCTCACACGTTTTGAAGCTCTTTTAAACAAACAGCATATTCAAGACTATGTCAGTACTCTAGGACCCAATCATGCTGGTGCCAGATTTAGCATCAGTTTTAAAGATGCATAATAAAAACCTGGGTCTACCCAGCCCCTTACCTGAACCCAGATACTTTTTAAAAACCCAGGTTTTAAAACTCTTTCAACCAATTGACAATCAGAAAATCTTGAAATCCTTCTTATGACCTGGAGCCCCGACCTTCTCCCACTTTCTGTGGTCCTGTCTTTCTAAATGGAAGAAATTTACATCTTGCATGTATTAATTGATGTCTTATGTCTCCCTAAAACATGTAAAAACCAAACTGTAGCCTGATCACCTTGGACATACGTACTCAGGACCTCCTCAGGCTGTGTCACCAGCCTGTCCTTAACCTTGGCAAATTAAACTTCTAAACTGATTGAGACCAGTTTTAGATAACTTTTTGGTTTGCAATGTGTAATCATGGTGGGGTTTACTTTTTAGAAGAGGACACTAGGGATTTATTGTGTCAAACAGAAATAACAATATTTATTTATATGATTTACGTCCGAAGAATATTTTTCCATTTATGGATTCACATACAGGGAAATGACTGTCACGTAAATGGATGTCACTGCAGTTCTGTTTTTTAGACTTTTCAAAACTTGAATAAAAGCTAAGTTGAACAGATGGATTCAATTCTAGGCACAATAGTCTATTGTAGTTATGTACTAAACTTTTGTTACAGTAGATGATGGAAGAATCGGAAATACTGAAATTATATTCTATAGAACAGCCGGTGTTAATCACGCGAGAGTTCCCTTCTTCAGTCCACCTTTCCTTTGTCATGCATGTGTAGTAATCGCCTAGGGAGGATCCTGTCTTTGTACTCGCCAGTCCATTGAGCATAGTGTATTTCAGGAAGGGAGACATGGGCTGGATGCTGATGTGTTTTAACTCTGCAGTGTGGAGCTGCACTGAGTGTGGTGAACTAGTAACCCAATGCTTTTTTGCTGTCTTAATTGTCATTGTGTCTAATGAAGGTAGTTTGCAGGATTTGATCATTTCTAGGTCTTGTGGTGATAAGAGTTTTCAACTGTCTCAAAAAATATCTCATTCATCTTATTTGTTTGGGGCCAACTGCTGAGGAATGTTCCCAGCATTGAAAGGAGTTTCTCAATATTTCTAAGTACTGCTTCTTAATATTGAGAACTTGCATTTGACCCTGTTGTCAGAGGCATCTGGGGCAGCTCTGTATTATTCACACCAATGGCTGTGCCATATCCTGCAGTTACATTCACTGTTGTCTGCCCTAAGCCACGTGACTGCTGCAGCCATCTTGGAATCACAGACAGTGTTTGGGATCTCCGTAGACTCATGTAAATCTAGGACTAGCATGTGTGAGGGAACCAACCTATGGCTACCCGTGATGGCAGGGTTGAGAGCCATCCTCCTCAGGGTCAGAACCGCAGTTCAACAATTCATTATCAATTCAGCGTTAGAACTATATCCCTAGGTTCGTATCTTGCTTCCTTCCTTTAGGGGCTTAGAAGCAAGGGCACATTCATTAGCCCTTCGGTTTCTCCATTCAAGGAGTGTGTGGATAGTAAACAATTACTGTTTAGGTGAGGTCTGTAGTGAGGATTGAATGGGTGTATTAAAATAAACTGAGTACTGTAGATCTTCAGAATGGTAAATTAAAGAAGAACTGCCTTGCTTGATATCTCAAAGCTTAACATGTTCCAGAGCTGTATGCAAACCCAAGAGATAAGCTCCCAAGTCAGGGGCGATGCCATAATGCACAACTGCTCTGTCCAAAAACAGTCATTTCAACTTCACTCTAACCTTGGGACAAAAGAATGAGATACGAGTGTCAAAAATGCTTTTGGTGACATCCTGATTCCACACAGTAGCTACTTCTGAAAAAAAGAAACAATTTAAGTGCATGTTGTCTACAAAATGAGCCAGTGACCTGAAGAAAGATCAACAGATACCTGTTCAAATGGAATGACCACCAGTTTACTTGGGGAGGAGAATTATCTACCATAATGGAAGGTTCTAAGCATGTGATACCATATCCTGTATGATTTCTTTCTCTTAAATGAAAAGTGGCTCCAACTGATGCTGCTGCCAAGTTATGGAGATGACCGTAGCTTAGCCTTAGAAAGTGCTCTGGATAGTGTCACGGGAGACCTGATTTGTGCATTCCTTCCTTCTGAGGAGGGTAATAGGTTGGGTGAAAGCATATTATTCATATCTCTGTACATAGGGAATTTTGAATAATCCACAAAAGTATGTTTAAAACTATGTTTTGGTAAGTAACCTGGCCTAGACATAGATATTATCAGTATGTATTTGGGAAAACTTGTGATATGAGTAGAAACAACACACTCTCAAATACTGTGAACTAAACATACATTCAGGCTGATGTAAGGAGGGAAGTCATGGGAATAGCAACATTAGGTTTCTTTCTTGTGCATTTTCCTTCACACTTCCACATTCCAGATTCACTTCAGATTGCGAAGTCTAGAGTTTAAAAGATAATTGATGGTGGAAAGACAGAAGCACAAGAGACGTTCCTATATTCTTCCAGTTAACATGAAAAGGGAAGTTAGGTGTGCAGAATCTAATCAGAAATACTGCATTTTACTCTATGGAAAAATAATAAATACAATAGCATGAACAAAGAATTAAAACTATAAATTATGGAATAAGTAGGCAAAGTATTTCTTGAACAACCTTACTACGCCAACTGGAAGGACACCATCAGTAAGTGAATATGAACAGACCTTCACAGTAACAATATACTTGAGAAGAGAGGTATGAAGCTGAGAACTTCTTTAACATTCTGCATATGAAAAATCGGAGATAGTCTACAAGAATGCTATTCATGCTAATAAATTCATCAAAATTGCAGAGTACAAGGTTAACACTCAAACGGCAGTTGTGTTAATATGCACTCAATATAAACAATCCAATAGTAAGATTACAAATGTAATTCCATGGATAACCTTTGAAATCATTAGATACTTAGAAATAAATCTAACCAATGAGATGAAATACTCGTAACCTGTTAAGAACAGAATGTGACTGAAAGGAAGTAGAGAGGGTACAAATAAATGAAAAGGCATCCTGTATTCACAGACAGGAAGACAAAACCTGGCTAATACACAATACTACAAAATGATCCAAAGACGCACAACAACTACTATCAAACTGGGAACAGCCATCTGTGCAGAAATGGAAAAGACAACCCAAAATTTCTTATGAATTCTTATATGTCTCAAATAATCATAATAATGTTGAAAAAGAATAGCGTTGGAAGATACGCATTCATGAGACTGAAATCTACGAGAGGAAAAGATACAGAAATTCAGACAGCAGGGTCCTAGCATGGGGGCACCCGTAAGTATTGGAGATACGGAACAGAGAGCCCAAAATTCAATGCATGCATACACAGTCAACTGATCTTCAACAAAGGTGCCGAGAATACACAATGGGAAAAGTAAGGCCTCTTTAGCAAATGATGGTAAAACTCCATATTCTCATTTAAATAACGAAGTTGAGCAGTGTGCTCAAGGCTGTGCTTCTTCCTCCGTTTACAAGACACTGGAGCTCTGCAGTGAGCCCAGAGCGAATCTTCATCCTGTCCCCCACACCCAGAGAGAGCCCTTGATATCAGGAGTAAACAGCAAAGACAGACAAATGAATGTGCTGCCATGAAACCTAACCGTTCAGAAGGTGAGGATCAGTTTCTCCCAAGCATCTGGGCACACTGTGGAAGAACTGTTGTCTCCAGGAATAAGTAACTGCCATGACAGAACTGTGTCCCAAACCAAAGG